ATGATCCGCTTTTAGGGAGACTACCGGTAAATATCGATTCCATTTATAGAATTGCCACATTTTTAGCATCTGTAAAATCAATTGAAGATAAGAGTATTATATGTCAAGGTACCTTTGAGTATATCATTTTCTTACTACGACAGTGTTTAACCAATGAAGCGTTAACAAGTTGTAATAACAATTACTCTCAGAACCTGCAAGACTTGGGTGATTATCACAGTTCGTTTATCGACAGTTTTGTGGAATTTGAAAGGCGTTTTAAAAAGAGAATTAACAAACGAAAATGGAGATCTAATAATAATAATAATAATAATAATAAAGAAATGACAGCAATGACGAAGATGACGACGGTTATGATGATAATATGGATACTTATAACCCAGTGATGGTTAATAGTGATAATAATTCGTTTATAATCGTTATTATCTCGCAACCGGTATATTTGGTGATGGCAGCATAATCGGCCAAAGATTAATTTCTTTAGTTGAAAACGGCGACATTGCAGGCTTACAGAAACTAACAGACAGTGTTCTTGCCTATAATAATAATAATATAATGTCAGTCCGTTTATAAATCTATATGTTCAAAATTTGATCGACATTATATCCGTTCAAGGAGAACGTCTAAAAAATATAAAACTATTTCAATGTGAATCCTCTGTCGATGTTCTACCGGGATCTATTTCTTCTTCTTCCTCCTCCTCTTGTCATGATATGTTAAAAAACGAATCAAACTTCTTAAATGACTCTTCGTTAGCAGCACGTGAAACTGATGATAGATGTTCAATAATAATTAATTACGAAAGCGCTTTATTGACAAATATGAGCAATGAAAAGATTATAACAAATTCATCATCAACAGACAATAAAATGATGTTGATCACAGATATGTTTGCAACACAGTTACCTGCTCATAATCTCTTTATAGAAATTTTCACAACTCTTTTACAAAAGGCATTTCCTAACGAAACTATCACTACCACCAAGCGCAGTATATTGTCGACTCAGGCCAAAACGATGTCACCATTCGGACCCGATTCTGTAATAGCGTCAGTGTATGCCATAGAATTTTTTTCCCTAAAAAAAATGTAAGAACAATACATTTGTTGAAAAAAAAAAATCATCATAACGATGACTCGGAATTGTTGCTAAAATTCAACACGGCTATCGAATCGTCTGCAAGATATCAAGTCGCCGAGGCCAAAAAGAAAGTCGTTGAGGAAGCCAAAACGTATCTTGAGCGCAATGGAGCAACTATTATAAATATCATAGAACATATTACGACGACTGAAAAAAATAAAGACACGGTAACATTGCCATATTCTTTGAATAGTTTAATAGAGGGTATAATGACAGTCTTAGTAAAAACAATTTATTTGACTAGACTTAAGATATTAAACACAAATACAGTGGAACATCACACCGCCACCGCTGCCTCCACTTCGTCGCATGCATCGGCACTCGGTGGAGACATACAGGTCTTGATGCTCATACCAGAAATTGTGGAATGGCTCGTAGAACACTTGGCGTCTCAAGTAGAGACGGCCATGTCGTCTATATTAGAGACAAAGTTGCCCAGCAGATTCGAAGACCAAATATACGAATCGAATAAATCGAAATTGGCCTCGACTGCCGTGACAGAGTCGGAGATAGGTAAATTGTTTATACAGTCTATGGCGAATGATTATCTCACAAATATCGATAACGTTCTCAATGTACCACATTCGAACCAACACCATCGTCTTCGAGAACAACTTGTTCGATTGGTTGTAGATAAATCGACAAGCGTTCTTAAGAAACAGTGCTGGACGCTAATAATAATGGTAGTCATGATTTAATAGACCACAATCGGGACACAACTCTAAATATTCAAAATATCAACCTGACCGAAGATAATGAAGCTTCTAATCTAGTGGCCTATCTCAATATATTAAAACATAGACAAAAATAGGAAAAAACAACTCAAACAAGTCATATCTGCCGTATGTTTATCAGTAGCCAAGAAAGCTGCTTTTTCGTTTGCGAGATTATCCAATTCACATTTCGCATACTTGCTTCAAAGATTTAATATCGTACCACGGAATAGTGGTAATTATCAATATAACAACAGTAATAATAAGAGAATGGTCAGTAACATTAATATAAATAATAATAATGATAAGTCTTCTCCCTCTATACCAGCGTCTACAACAAAGAGATATAAAAGAGGAGAATATTTTAAGCTGCGACAATCGCCATCATCGATTAAACACTCAAACATAACTATTCTCGACGGGATTATCAACAAATACCAAAATGTCTCAAATTAATCATTCTTATGATATTCTTTTCTTGGATAAGAGATCATCTTTGTCATCACTGGGTTTTCGTAATATGGATAACGAAGACATTAGCGGAAAAAAAACGAGTGGAAGAAAATTAGAAATGACAAGATCAAGGATGATGATATCGACGAGGAAAACAAGGATGATGACAAAAGTATCAGAGATGATGATAGTAATAGTAGTAGTAGTAATGATGACGATTATGATGATGATGAAGATGATGACGACGAGGATTATGAAGAAGAAGAAGAAGAAGAGATAGAAGATAACAACGATGACTGGATAGTATTTTCTAATGAGAAAAAAGTTAGATTTTCTCCTAACATCATAAAAATAACCATATATGATTTTTGAATGAGGGTATGATTAAAACTAACATACACTAGTTGAATTGAATACTAAGGTTAATAAAGAATTATATAAAATTTTATCGTTTTATTATTATATTACCAATCACGATTATATCTATTTTTCAAAAAAAAAATTATGTTTAGATTGTCAGCCAGTTGAACTAAATAGGTTTGCTTTTTCTTTTAGTTTGGCAGTAACGGAACGTGTAACTGGGCCATTGTTCTTGTATTGGTCGCATCCTCTATTGAACTTGTTTGCCGACGAAACACGGGTGTTATATCTGTGTTTAGTGTGTAGCCACTTATCATTTTTTCTAATATCCTTAGAGTGTTTTTTAATATACGTACTCGAGATGTTGATATTTCCGCTTCCTAATATGTTTACAAATCCTACATCTTTTTCATTATTGTCGGTATAGACTAATGTGGTATTTCCTCTATTTTTATTGTTATTGTTTTCACAAAGTCCTCGTTTTACATCACATGTGGTTGCCACTGTATCCTTATCATTATTATAAATAGTTTCATCAGTTTCACTGTTATCGGTATCATCTGTAAATGAAGAGGAGGACAATGACGACGAAGAAGATGATGATGAGGACGACGACACTGCTGCTATCGATGATGAAGAAGAATTGTGATGGTAGTGGTGATAGTGATGTTGTTGCTTCTTTTCTTTATTAAACAATTTGTATAAAAATGATATAGGTAGTTGTATCAAATAGTATGATAATGAATAAAATATTGTTTCATAAAAGTACATATCTACTACAAAGATTAACCCATATGGTAGTAACGGTGATAGTAATAACAATTTTAAAGTTATTCAACTTGATAGAAAAAAAATTTATTTTGTCATTTTATGTGTTCGTCGACGAACAAGTAATATTTTTTGCACTTGTTTAATAAGGACACGGATCTAAACAATAATCACACACTCTGCTTACTCGTATATCAGTATAATATTTGTCTTTATTATCCTTTAACTGATCTATTGTGCGACAAATTTTCTTAAATAGAGATGCGACTTCCATGTTATATAAGGCTTCATCCTTATAGATATCATCTAAAAATACTTGTTTTACTGCTTTTGTTAACAAACAAGATTCATATTCGATATACTCTCCTTAACTAAAAGAAAATATATCAGGTGTATAAAATAGTAGCACGCTATCCTCTTCACAATTGTCACAATTCACAATAACAACTGTGATACCAAAGACCAGGACTGTCTAATTTCTTCGATTCTGGACAAATGTTTATGATATGTATTTTAATTTTCTAGTTAATTGTGGACAATTTTCATCATTGAAGTATTCAAAAAAAAAAAAATACGATAGAATATATATATATATATATATATATATATATATATATATATATATATATATATATATATATATATATATATATATATATATATATATATATATATATATATATATATATATATATATATATATATATATATATATATATATATATATATATATATATATATATATATATATATATAGGGGGTATGTTACAATAAGAACATCTCATTATATATATATGTATTTGTAATAAAAGAATTATCAGACTATAACTCAAAATGGCAGTTCCACAAATACCACTAGATCTTAATCGAGAATTCGAGAAATTAGCACCATATATATCCTCGTATAAGAAAAAAAAGACTTCGACATTTGACAACGCCAACGATGTTGAACCGCCGACTTCAAGATCAACTATTGCTGCTAGTATTCCCGATAATGGATCGACAACTTCTAGAGTGCAACAAAAGCATAATCCCCGAAAATTGTGTGTTTGACATATCCATCAAATTCCCGAATATTCCGGTCGAACAACGGAATGACAAGACATGGGCAATAACAACATTGTTGTATGACCTATTGGAGTCAGGTGATGTATCAGTATCAATCAATAAGAGGAAAGATGAATTTCAGAAGCAAAAAGAAAGATAAATGTATTATTCTAACCTTTCCCTATAAATAATAACAATGTTGCGAAGAAGAGGCACATGATTTTTTGGTTAGATTAGAAATATATATTAATGACATAATGTATTATGTATACTTGTATAATGGAAGCTTGTTAAAATTATTAATAAAACAATTTTTCTACTTATTTCTTTTATTCTCCCCTATACTTGTTTCATCCTCATAAGAATTCTTGGAGATACAACTATACTCAGAAAATGAGAAAGAAGGTTAGAAATATTAATACATATATTATGGATAAATGAAATATCTTTAATAAGTATTATTTTGTTTATATAAAAAAGATCAAGTAACATTTTTTGCACTCGTTCAGTTATATACGAGTTAGTTGACAATATTCACCAGTATTTTGGTATCTTTGTTATACTCGTAATCGTTGTTGTCACTAGAATCATTTATGTTGAAGAGAGCGTCATCACCCTTTCGGGTCGACACTTGAGACCTCGTTGCCTTCATTGTTATGTATACTGCACAAATATAACACCGGCAGATTTTAAATTATTTGTAGGTAAAAAAAAAAATTATAAAGGTAGATTTTCATTTTAACCTGTAGGTGAAAATATAACAAGGATCATTAATCATTCCATTCAGTTAAAATAAATAACATATATATATATATATATATATATATATATATATATATATATATATATATATATATATATATATATATATATATATATATATATTATTATCGGTCAATTTTAAGTATATACAGGGGTATCGATATATCCGATCGACCTAAATGTGTTCCGTACGATGTTACGAGAAAAGATCTGGGATCTATCAAAGTCCTTCGTAAATCATTTATCAACTTTTGAGGTAACCAATCAAGTGTGGGTGTTTGATGACAACCCTCATTATCATCTCCGTGTCCATATATTAAAACAGCGGCTTTTTTTGGATCGACTTGTGGTAGTCTGTTGAGAATTTGTATAGGTATTCTCCAAAAAAATTTTGTGATGAAAGTATATGAGAGATGAAAAAGAATTGTACAAATAATAACGGCGGTAAAAAGAACAACCGATAATAAAAATTTGCATATATATATCAGTCTTTCCCATTCCATGTTTATTTTATATATATAATATACATATATATATATATATATATATATATATATATATATATATATATATATGTATATATATATATATATATATATCAAAGACTTTAACAACTAACAACACCAATATTATTGATCAATCACTACTATCCCAATATTGGATCGAGCAACAACAATATCGGAAGATGAGGCACATGAATCGATATACATAAACGACGATTCTGTACACTGGTCATAGATATTTCGCTTCTTCTTGTCACTCAGAACCTCGTAAGCTTCTGCGACTAATTTAAATTTTTCCTCGGCATCATCCGATTTGTTTTTGTCTGGATGATACTTGAGGGCCATATTTCTATAGGCCCTTTTGATATCTCCTTCAGAGGCATCCTTGGACAGGCCGAGGATCTTGTAATAATCTTTGGCCATCTTCCTTGAAAGCGTTTTAATAGATGATATATTTTACACACATGTGTATATATATACACACACACACATATATATATATGTATATATATACATATATGTATATGTATATAGACATATATATATATATATATATATATATATATATATATATTATAGTTTCAATATTCCTTCCATCTTGCCCAAAAGCTTAGATGATTTAAAGGACAATATAAATCGAAAATATAGTTTTAATTTTTATGTTTTATTTTATGTTTTATTTTTATATCTAGAACAGTGATTATACATCTATCTAGTTCTACATTATATGTTAACCAATAACAAAAATTTAATGATTTATATCATTTTTATCTTATGGTAACTATATACAGTATTTGTTGAATATATATATATATATATATATATATATATATATATATATATATATATATATATATATATATATATATATATATATAGTATATATATATATAATGTATATATAACACATCAACCAGGATATTATATAGAATACCAGATTAGGTGCGATATGATACAAGTTTATTCTTGTAAATATAGGGATTTCAATACATGTGCTTTGGTACTTTCAGAGAAATTCAAAGGGAATTGGATATCAAAGTGGACGATAATATCACCCTTCCTCGTCGGATTCTTTGGATAGGGAAGACCGTATCCTTGAGACGTCTGGTTGTTTGAGGTTTCGTCGTTTCCTTGTTAAAGTTGAGGGCGACCCGCTGACCAGTCAGGGTAGGAACGGAGACAAGAGTGCCACGCAGGGCATCGCGTAGAGGTATCTTGGCGGTATATACGAGGTTTGCTCCATCGCGCTTGAACAGAGGATGAGGTTTGTCTCTAATGATGAAGATGATGTCTGCGGGAATCTTCCCTGGTGACTGATCACCCTCTTTCTCGAAAATGATTTTGGTGCCTTCCTTCCACCCTGGCTTGACCTCGATGGTTAAGATCTTTTCCTCGCGCAGTGTCGACCGCCCGTCCGCCGTCAGCAGCACGTTCCTCGTGATCTTCCTCTTCTTGGTGACGCCCGTGAAGACCTCCTCTAGCGACACGTACAGGTCCCTGATAACTGCCGAGTCTTGGTTACGACCTTTGTTCGCGGAACCTCGGAGGGTCGCCATCCAGGCCATCAACGTCCATATTGAAAAAACGACTAAAAGGGGTTATTATCGTGTGGGTTAAAACTGAAGGTCCTCCGAGTCTTTACACCCACGTGAGATCCCCCGCCAACCAACATGTCCTCAAACACGTCGTGAGTGCCATGGCCGTCCACACCCATATTGAAGAAATGACTAAAGGGGTTATTGGTGCCAAAGACTTGTTCGAAGGTGGCTCTAGGATCACCCGAGTATGTATAGGTGAAGTGAGTGCCACCGGTGCTTCTACCGCCTGGCATTCCACCCTTCAAACCTTCATCTCCATACTGGTCATAGATATTTCGCTTCTTCTTGTCACTCAGAACCTCGTAGGCTTCTGCGACTAATTTAAATTTTTCCTCGGCATCATTCGATTTGTTCTTGTCTGGATGATACTTGAGGGCCATATTTCTGTAGGCTCTTTTGATATCTCCTTCAGAGGCATCCTTGGACAGGCCGAGGATCTTGTAATAATCTTTGGCCATCTTCCTTGAAAGCGTTTTAATAAATAGTATATTTCACACACATGTATACATATATATATATATATATATATATATATATATATATATATATATATGGATTTATAGTTTCAATATTCCTTCCATCTTGCCCAAAGCTTAGATAGTATAAAGGACAATATAAAACGAAAATAAAGTTTTAATTTTTTATGTTTTATTTTTATATCTGGAACAGTGATTATATACTTATCTATCTAGTCTTACATTATATGTTAACCAATAACAAAATTTAATGATTTATATCATTTATTATCTTATGATAACTATAAACATATTTATATATATATATATATATATATATATATATATATATATATATATATATATATATATATATATATATATATATATATATGATAAATAAATATATAAATATTACATCAAGTCATATCTATTACCTAATCTTTTCCTCTTAGCTTCTAAAACAGCTTCTTTCTTTTCTTCAGTTTTCCTCTTGTTGACTGAAACCGAGATATCATACAGATGCATTAGTTCTTGCATAGAAGTTGCTGTTTCCCACGTCTTGTCATCCCGTTCGCACTTTACTCTCGGGAACCTGATAGATATACCATGAGCCGTATGGTGATTCTGATTCTCCTGTTTGGTTATTTCGGCTCCAATAATTTCCCAAACTGGTGATCTTTTAGGGTCAATCACAACAAAATCCGGCTTCATATTCTTGTCCAGTTTCAGGTTATAATTTAACCCTATAGAGTTAAAGGCGTCATTATATCTCATCATATTTGACATCAATTGTCCCTGCAGGCGATTTAAAGTAGCATCGGTATGGCCCGTGTGCACCTTAGCCACGGTCCTCCATGCTTCACTCCTTTTGTCGTAGCATCCCATGAGAAATACTGACAATTTGCCTTTATTTTTGCCTGTCCCGTACCAACTTCCGAGTACTACCAAATCCAGCGTATCTGCCATGGCTCCTCCGTAGATAGAGTCCTTTTTGATCTTAACCAGTGACGCTTGCCCGGCTCGTATTCCCCGTTGGCTTTTTTTAGCACCAGTCCTTCGAGGCCGTCACCCAAAACTCGCGAGATCATGTCTTCTAGTTCCGAAGGTTGTTCGATCTTGACCATTTCCGACAACATTATTCGATTCTTCTGTTTCACCATATTCTCCTCCAGCATTCTTCTGCGTTCACACATCTTCATTTTCATGAGATCCTCTCCGTTATATAATAGCAAATCAAAGACAAATAGGCATGGGTTTGCATTCTCGTGTTTTTCCATCTCCTTTCTTCCCAATGTACCAAAAGGTAAGGGCATGCCCGTTTCATTATCCATCATCACACAACTCGGCATCTAATATATATTCGTCAGATTCGGGAAAGGCCATCGGAATATATTTGTCAAATTGTTTAATCTTGTGCTCATTGACAGGCTTTAGAGAGCGAGTAAAATACTTTGTGATAGTGCCCTTCCTGTGAATCTGTACACGCTCACCATCATACTTGATTTCCGAATAGATTGTCTGATTGCCGCACTTTCTGAATGCATGTGAAACAGACTTGCATCTTTCTGCTAACATTGGCTTTACTGGAATGAGGACAACAGCAGAAGCAGACACAGAAGAGCCGAAAGAACTAGACGGATTCTTCATTACCTTACTCAGTACCATGTCAATATCTCTAGTAGTTTGAAATATTGCATAAGCGTCCTTGTGTACACCATCAAGGATGTGCTTGGGACCTGCGTTAATTCGCAAGTTACACTCGATGAGACGGACAATCATCATGAATTCTTTTGGAGGCAAATTTTTGTAGACAACAGAATGCAGAATGGCTAGCTGTTCCGTCTCTTTAGTCTTGCCTTCCAGATTAGCGAGTATCTGGTCGACCTCTCGGAGGGTGATCTTTGGCGAATGATTCGCTGAATATCGTTTGCAATAGAATCTTGTAATGGTATCAGCCACGTCGCCGCTCATGTCAAGATCTCTTGTCATCTCTTCAACGGATTCTCCAAACAACTGTCCAAAGAGCTTGACCAGCTGTTTAGACTTAATGTTGTAAATCCGCCTTAACTCGCACGGGAGAAGAAGACGGATCCACAATCCGAGATCTTCGATAGACAGAGTTAACAATAGATCGGATACAATTCTTGTCTTTTCTCTATAGCTTCTTTGGCTATGGAATTGCAGAGGTCACAAAAGGTGGAAAATAATCTGTTGTAGCACTGAACATTTTTTGAGAGCCTAGGTTGTTGATGGTTGGATTTGGATGCAGATCGCACCATAGCAAGAATATTATTCTTATCCTCTTCAGATTTGGATGCAGATCGCACCATAGCAAGAATTATTCTTATCCTCTTCAAGGAGTTTTTCCCACCCCTTGATGTCAACGGCTGGTTCCTTAATCTTTATAGTGGTGGGTCTTGCGTTTCTAAAAGACTCAAATATACAATGGGCGTGATACCAATATGTCATTACATCACAATCATTTGAAAAAAAGTTACGGACCTTCTTTCCGATGCGAAGCTTTCCCTTTTCGCACGTTTCACTACACCTCTTACACTTGGCAGTACCTCTTTTAGGACTGTAATCGGCACAAAACAGAGTTCCTTTTATAACAGAGGGTGTTAGGGTGATTGTCGTTTCAGATTTGTATGGCAATGATGTCGTTTCAGATTCAGCTGTATTTTTCTGATACAGCTTTAGCAATCACGGGTGGTTCCACAAACGGTTCCGTATTATGGTCTTCATCATCAGAAGATGTAGTAGTAGTAGAGGTTCTTGTCTGAGAGTGGGTCGTCGACATCATGGTTATGATTATAGAACGATGCTATGACAAGTCGTCTTTTGTCTTTCTAGATGTAGTTGAAAGTATGTTTGTTCTACACAAAAGCACGAGCTTTTATACGCGTCTTATTCTCTCTTTTTTTTACTTCTCTCTCATCAAATTCACATTCTACCTCTCTACTATTTTTATACTTTTTTTTTGTCTTTCTCGATTCTATTATAGATTGGTGGGATTTAATAATGATTTTTTTTTTTTTCATTGAGCTCTAATATGATTATATATTCTTTTCCAAATATATATATATATATATATATATATATATATATATATATATATATATATATATATATATATATATATATATATATAGTACCTATTAAAGTATATTTAATCCCCCTCTTTCTCTTTCAGGATTTATATCCTTGACTTGACAGTTATTGGAATGGGTTTAGTAATCGATTTATAGAGAGGTGAAATATAGGGAGCCCTCACAAAGGGTCTACTAATCTCATCTTTTTTATCGTCGTGTTCACCGCCCTTCTTCCTTTTCAAATTTTCTATAGTTATAAAATCAATATTCCTCTT